CACAGGGTGAGTTCATTTTCTGAATCGTTGATCTGTCCTTGAAATCCTTTTCCTTTGCGAGTTATCAGTCTCTAAAATGGCAGATTTAGCGAGACTAAAGAAAAAACGCGGTAATTTAAAACGTCACCTTACACTTTTTGGTGCGTTTCTTGAGAACGCAACTACAGCCGATTGTTACGATGAAGTTAGTTTTCGATTAAATCAAATAACTGGACATTTAGCCGAATTTGAAGACATTCAAATAGAAATTGAGTTGGTGGAAACATCTCCCGAAAACGATAAATATCGAGACGAATTCGAAGACAATTATTACAATCTCTTGCGAAAAGCACGTCATTTCCTTAGAGTTCATTCTCCTATCTCAGATAGAGAAGAGCGAGATATTACTGTAATTAACGGGACAGCAACAGCAGTTGATCGATCTAATGTACGCCTTCCAAAGATTGATTTGCCAACTTTCAATGGAGCATATGATCAATGGATGTGTTTTTTTGATACTTTCAAATCCATGGTACATAATAAAAGTCATATTTCAAAAATCGAGAAACTTCATTACTTGCGTTCGTGTTTGAAAGACGAGGCGGCGACTGTGACTCAATCGCTCGAAACTACAGAAGATAATTATGATATCGCTTGGGATCTTTTAACCCTTTGAGTGCTATGGGCGCACATATGCGTCCAACGAAAGTCATCGCTGTGGACTATGGACGCAAATACGCGCTCAGCAGATGTCATCAGTATAGACTNGTTTCGACACCTTTACCCGCACAACAAATTAATTCAAAGGGCTTAAATATTCCGAGAAATTTACCGCTCGCAGATCCAACGTTTTACAAGTCCTCTGAGATCGATGCGTTATTAGGCGCAGAATTATTCTACCAGATACTTTGCGCAAAACAAATCGAAATTCAAAATCAAAACGCCGTATTGCAAAAAACTAGATTTGGGTGGGTAGTCGCAGGTAAAATAACGGAGGATGAATCAAGTGTTCGAACCATTTCTTGCAATTTATCTATCAAGTCGATACACCATGACATTTCCAGATTTTGGGAATTAGAAGAAATTCCAGAAACCAAATTCATGTCCTCCTCAGAAGCTGAAGTCGAGCAACATTTTCTAGACAACGTATACCGTAACGAAACAGGCAGATACGTAGTAAGATTACCCTTTAATGATAAAAGGGACAAGCTCGGGATCACATACAACATTGCGCGCCGACAATTCTTCGCGTTAGAACGTCGATTCGCTAAACATCCAGAAATAAAGCTTCCGTACGTCAACTCGATGAAAGAGTATATAGATTTAAGACACATGTCGAAAGTTCGAAATCCTGATACGCGAGACAATTACATGCCACATCATGCAGTAGTCAAGTTAGACAGTACGACTACTCAATATAGACCTGTTTTCAACGCATCCGTTACTCCAGAAGATGAGGAGGACGAATACGGTCAAATCGGTGACCAGAATAAATCGGAAAGGGTCACATTCAATCAAACTTTAATGACGGGACCGACAATACAAAATGACATTTTTGAAATTTTAATTCGTTTCCGTATTCATCAATTCGCGTTAATAGCCGACATAGAAAAAATGTATCGGCAAGTGCTAGTTCACGAAGACGATAGAAAATACCAACAAATTTTTTGGCGAGAAGATCCGAACGAACCTTTAGAAGTGTATCAACTCAACACGTTAACTTTTGGCACGAGCTGTGCACCGTTTTTAGCTATTCGCACGTTACATAAACTTGCAGATGACGAGAAACACAATTATCCTACGGCAGCCGACGTAGTGAAACGCGATTTTTACGTAGATGACCTATTAACAGGTAGTGATACTTTAGAAAACGCCGGAAGGTTACGTGATGAATTAAATTCTTTGTTAAAATCAGGCGGTTTCAATTTGCGAAAATGGGCTTCAAATGATAACCGACTGATTGAACCGTTGTCTAACGACTTAGCAAACGTCCATTTATTCTCAGATCCAGAAAAGGCAGTCAAAACATTAGGGATTAAATGGAATTCGCAATTAGACGAATTATCTTATTCGTTAAAGGCCGAACTCAGTGCTCAGGAGAAAACTACAAAACGAACAATTCTGTCAAACATCGCGCAGTTATTCGATCCGATAGGGTTGTTAGGCCCAATAATAGTCAAAGCTAAACTTATTATGCAAGCTTTGTGGAAAGCAAAAGTGGACTGGGACGAAACCCTCCCACTCAATATTCATACCGCGTGGTTAGATTACA